TGTTTGTGTCACAGTGTGTTTCTGTACCTTCCTGGATATTTCCCTGTGTACCCTTCTGTCTTATGAGCCTAGTGCCCCAGTTTTTTTCTTTTAATCCATGGTGGTGACAAAGACAAAAACCCATAAGTGAACAAAAAAAGTATGTGTGAACACAAACAAAAATGTGCACAAAAGGGTGTGTATTTTGTCCACCCTCTCAAGGGGTAGGACCTTACCCTGAAGCCCCGGGGTGCAAGGCTCTTGACAGGGACAAGGTTCAACCATGATCCACCTAGCCAAAAGGCCCTCTCCCCATGGTCAGCCAAAGCCGACCAACAAGTACTAGGTGAGGGTCTCCCCAGAGGAAGACCCCCCCAGGTTCAGGGGAGGAAGGAACATAATGGCCACACATTCTCCCCCTAGACTGCAGGATAGGCCCGAGGACCCACATTTTACTAGTGCTCCAGTGCTGCAAGAGAGTTCTCACTTACTCTCAGTTGTGGCTGCCCAGGTGAGTTGGAGCTCTGCAACTTGTGTATCGCCTGCATTGTAACATCTCCACCTATGGTGAAGACCAGGAGGCACCTTAGAGTCTGTGCCTCGGCCTTTTTTAGGGCTCTCACCACTGCTAAATGAACAGGTATGTCGTACCCACTGTGGCTTTCACCACCATCTGCTCTGCGACTTCAATCAGGTCAGTTACTCTGCCCCTAGGCAGTGAAGTCATGACAGGTCCCCTGGGGATATCAGATACTGCTGTGCGACTACACCCACCAGTGTATATCTATAACCAAACTTCCAGTTTGAAATGGACTGGTCCTTTAAATAATAAGAAAGTAAAAGCCTTTCTATGTTTAGTACTGAGAAGTACTGAGATGCATAGTTCTCTGTGCATCTGAATTAGGCAAGGCTATGTAGGCCATGTTGAGCAGTGTATCATATTATGTCAGACCCACTAGACTTGTATTTGCCCTTGACTGGTAAGTCTAACTTTAGTTACGGTACCTGATATATGAGATATGCATACTCATTGAGATGTCAGAATCAGCAATAAAAAATATGTTTGCACTGCAGGATGCAGATATATGTGTAGGTCACTCCAAAGGTCAGCAGCATTGCACACAGAGATTAATCTAACTGTAAGTATTTCAAACATTACTTCAGCTGTGATACTGGCACTTTGTGTAGCTGTCATTAATCTACTTACACAGCGCAGTCAGGGAACATTTACGTTATACTGCAGTAGTTTTATCTGTGACGAGAAACCCTTTGTTGGCCAATGCTAGTTCTGGAGATCTCTATCTATATTGGTATAAGATGCCTGTACAATTTGTGATGTATACCTTAACCAAGCACATACTGTATGTCCCTCACAATTCTTATCAGGGTGTTGCACATTGGGAAACTGGATTAATGACACACATAGGTTGTTTGGGGAACTTTGGGGCAGTTTGTGAAGCATGTAAAGCAAATCAGAGATGTGGGCAAAATATGTGTGTTTTAAAGAAGAATTCCAGGCATGGATATTTTATACATAGTTGCATTGATTCAGCTTGGATCAATGTATCTATGTGCTCTCTCCGGCCTCTTTATTAGGTACACCTATTCAATTGCTTGATAACACAAATTGCTAATCAGCCAATCACATGGCAGCAACTCAATGCATTTAGGCATCTAGATTTGATGAAGACAACTTGCTGAAGTTCAAACTGAGCGTCATGGGGAAAAAAAAGGGGATTTAAGTGACTTTGAATGTGGCATGGTTCTTGGTACCAGGGGGGCTGGTCTGAGTATTTTAAAAACTGCTGATCTACTGGGATTTTCATGCACAGCCATCTCTAAGGTTTACAGAGAATGGTCCAAAAAAAGAGAAAATATCCCGTAAGCGGCAGTTGTGTGGATGAAAAAGTCTTGTTGGTGTCAAAGGAGAATGGGCAAACTGGTCCAAGATGATAGAAAGGCAACAGTAATTCAAATTACCACTTTTTGCAACCAAGTATGCAGAATACCATCTCTGAATGCACAACACGTCAAACCTTGAAGCAGATGGGCTACAGCAGCAGAACTGCACACTGGGTGCCACTTCTGTCAGCAAAGAACAGGAAACGGAGGCTACAATTCACACAGGCTTACCAAAATTGGACAATAGAAGACTGGAAAAACATTGCTTGGTCTGATGAGTCTCGATTTCAGCTGCGACATTCAGATGGTAGGGTCAGAATTTGGCGTAAACAACATGAAAGCATGGATTCACCCTGCCTTGTATCAACGGTTCGGGCTGGTGATGGTGGTGGTGTAATGGTGTGGGGGATATTTTCTTGGCACATTTTGATCCCCTTAGTATGAACTGAGTATCGTTTAAACGCCTCGGCCTATCTGAGTATTGTTGCTGATCATGTCCATCCCTTTATGACTACAGTGTACCCATCTTCTGATGGCTACTTCCAGCAGGATAATGCACCTTGTCACAAAGCTCAAATCATCTCAAACTGGTTTCTTGAACATGACAATGTGTTCACTGTACTCCAATGGCCTCCACAGTCACCAGATCTCAATCCAACAGAGCACCTTTGGGATGTGGTGGAAATGGAGATTTGCTTCATGGGTGTGCAGACTACAAATCTGCAGCAATTGCATAATGCTGTCATGTCAATATGAACCAAAATCTCTGAGGAATGTTTCCAACACCTTGTTAAATCTATGCCATGAAAAATTAAGGCAGTTCTAAAGGTAAAAGGGGGTCCAACCAGGTACTAGCAAGCTGTACCTAATAAAGTGGCCATACCACTGCCTTGCTAAAAAAGCTGAGGGTAAAGGTGATGGACTGGCCAAGCATGTCTCCAGACCTAAACCCTATCGTCTGTGGGTCATCCTGGAAGGTGGAGGAGTGCAAGGTCTCTAACATCCACCAGCTCTGTGATGTCGTCATGGAGGAGTGGAAGAGGACTCCAGTGGCAACCTGTGAAGCTCTGGTAAACTCCATGCCCAAGAGGGTTAAGGCAGTGCTGGAAAATAAACGTGGCCACACAAAATATTGACACTTTGGGCCCAATTTGGACACTTTCAGTTAGAGGTGTACTCACTTTTGTTGCCAGCGGTTTAGACATTAATGGCTGTGTGTTTTATTATTTTGAGGGGACAGCAAATTTACACTGTTATACAAGCTGAACACTCACTACTTTACATTGCAGCAAAGCGTCATGTCTTCAGTGTTGTCACATGAAAAGATAGAATAAAATATTTACAAAAATGTGAGGGGTGTACTCACTTCTGGGAGATACTGTACCATACCTGGCCGATCCCCCTACACCACTTGCTTCCTGGTCCCTCACCTAAGCCCATATTTCCCACAGTACAGATCTCCCCTAACATCCCTAAATCACACCCCCCCCCTCCCTTCAAGTCTACACCCTCAGTATAATGAAGAAAAAAAAGTATATAAGAGACTCTGGGACTTTGATGTACATTCGTGTAAAGTAATGAGAGGACAAAAACATTCGGAGAGCTCACTGGCTCAGGTTAGACTGCTCACAACAGACAAGGCCACCCTCCTTTACTCATTTATTCTTTGGTCTGGCATTCCTTTCATTTGTGCATGTTTTACTCCCTCAGCATAGACACCCCAGCACAAGTCCTGCCCCTGGACAGACCCCCACAACTTCCCCAGCCCAGACTTACCTACTCAACACAGACTCCCTCAGCACAGACCCCCCCCCCCCCCCCCCCCCAGCACAGACAACCCCCCAGTACAAAACCCTCAGTACACGACCCACCCTAGCACAGACCTTCAGAACAGACATCCCTCCCCCGAGTATACACCCCTCAGTACACAACTTTTCCCCCCAATTCAGATGAGTCAGTACAGATACCCCAGCTCCTTACACACACCAACCAGATGAAATACAGGAGCTCAGTGTGAGAAGAAGTCCTCTCGGCTCTGTCATGTGGGCAGGGGAGGAGACTTCCTCGCGCAGCCAAAAATTCTGTATCCCGCTACATTGTCTGTCTTTGAAATACTGGGAACAGACTCACGGCGGGTACCATGGTCGCCTGACATTTTTTCTTTTTTTTTTTGTTGCAAGGTGCTCTGGGGCAGAACTGTACAACACAAAAAAGTAAATGCCATCCGGCTGCAGCCCCCCCCAGTGAGTCTACACCCGGTGCGTACTGCACCCCCCTTAGTATGTCAATGATTACAGTTAATAAAGCTGAAGTTTATTCTCCTTATATATTGCCTTCCTTGGTTCCTTTTTCCCCCTCGTTATGCTAATAAAATTATAAAAGAAAGTCTTTCCATTTCCACTACATACCTTATTTTTGTTCCAGTGATGCCATCACCAGGTTTCTGTGCTTCTCTGTGCAATGCAAACATATTATGACCGACTACATTATTTTAACATGGAATTGAATTTGGCAGTGATTGTAACTGTAATGTCAGAAGCAAATATAGATGCCTATCAAAAATGTCTGCTTTTTTTTTTTTTTAGCTTGATTTGCTGCATAGTAAATACTACATTTTATAAAGTGAAAATATAGTAGTCAATGATGCACATATGAACATAAATATTAATGAATTTTCCTGAAGAATATATTGTGCGCGCAGATGCACGGATGTGCAGATGCGTGTAAATAGACACATAAATATGCACAAATACGTGCAAAACAAATGCCTTAAATTATGTTAAAAATAGCAGATGCTCAAACATCAGTACCGTGTGCAATAGCTCTAAGTCTCTGCAATCCCTCCAGCAGATGTATTAATACAAAACAAAAAAGGTGACTTGAATACCAGTCAAAGGGAAGCTGCTTTCACAGGACACACATGGTGTATCAAAAACAACGAAGTTAAATTAAGTACATACAAAATATCTTTAACCGCTTTCCAGCTGGCCTGTAGTAGAACTGCTGCTACAGGGCAACAGGGCTGCGCAAAATCACGTACATATACGTGAATTGTATTTCCGGGTGGGGCATGTGCCCCACCCCACCTGTGCTGCCATTGGCAGCTAGAGATGTCAATCACAGGGTCCCGGACGGAGATTTCCCACCAGCACCAGGTCTCTGTTCTGCAAGCAAGGACATGCTACTTTGTATTTCTCTACACAGCAGAGAAATACAAAGCAGCATGTCTCCCTAGTAAAACACACACAGCACATAATGCTAACTGCTTCAGCTCCGCCCCATAGCAGAAGTACTGCTACAGGAGTGGCAGCTGTGTGCAAAATTACATATATATATATATATATATATATATATATATATATAATTTTGCATTTCCGGTAGGGGGCGTAAGTGAGGCACGCGCGTGCCCTTCACTGCCGTGGCTGTCAATCACCGGGTCCCATTCAGTGATTATTCGCCGGTGCCCGGTGATTGCTGAGGATTTCTGACGGGGGTAGAGAACTGTTAGTAAACAAAACATTTCTACTCCCTGTCAGCTCCTGCACACTGCTTTGCATGGCTATGCACAGCACAGCCATACAAAGCAGTGTGCTTACAGTGAAGCATAAACACAGAACATAATGTAAAACGACACATAGCACACAGTTAACCCTTTGATCGCCCCAAATGTTAACCCCTTCTTGCCCAGTGTAATTAGTACAGTGTCAGTGCTTTTTATTAGCACTGATCACTGTATTAGTGTCATTGAGACGTCAGTGGCAGTTAGTCATTTCCCACCCAGTGTCAGAATGCCTGCTGCAGATAAAGCACAATGTATACCGTGGCCAAACTGCTGTCTTTATAGCCCGTTCTGTTGCTTTTAATGTGGAGATGATTCACTTTGCACGATAAGCTCTAATTATCTGTGTTTACCAAGATTGTTAGGCTGAGAGTTTAACAAGAAGAGATATTGATTAAGAGATTTTTATTTTATTTAGGTTATAATTGGGCAGTATATTGCCAACAACCACAGCAGCTAAATGAGGATTATTAAAACTGAAATGTAGTCTGAGTGCAGTGGCATAGCAAGAGCCATAGCAACCAATGCAGGTGCTATGGGGCCTGGGGGTGGAAGGGGGTCCAGTTGAGGGAAATGTTGAGGCATTTCAACATAGAAAATATGTTTACATGTGAAGACAGCACAGTTCCAGTACTGTATTAGTAAAGATGTTGCTGTTGACACCAATCCCTGTCCCCCTGTGACATTTCCAATCAAGAACACCTGATGCCAGAAATTCAGGAGGGCATTTCAGAATTGTCGCTTGTTCCCCCACCCCATTCTTTATGAGCTGTTCAGCAAGGAGAATTGGTTTAGCTGTCTTAGTGTCGTTTTTTTGGCCCTCAGATCTTCTAATCATCCTGCAAACATTGAAATTAAATTGGTATTCAACCTAATAATTATTATCATTAAATGTGGTGACTGGAGTCGTTTTCTTTTTTTTTTTTTTTTTACACTTTTCTACTGGTGATCTGGCCATGAACACACGTCCTGTTTTAGAGTGCTTCCACTCAGGATGAAGGAGCACAGCGGGCACCTTTGGACAGTAACATTGTCAGTTTGGGGGAGGGGAGTGTTAGATGTACTAGCAGATTCAGATACACTAACAAATTGAAGCCAAGCTCCAGCTAACACTTTATAAGCAGTTCCAGCAAACAGTGTTTTCCCTTTTGTGATAAAGGCTTTACTTAAGATTAAAGCTGACCATTGTAAGCACCCCTGTCAGTGGAAAATAGTTTTTCTCAGCTCTGTAACTGCTACATCTGCCTGGCAGCTTGTTCTTTTGGAACAGCAAAAGACTTACTAGCCAGATCATCAGGTGAAAATAAAGGAAAGAAAGCCTAAGAAGGAAACTAATGCAGTCAACATATCTAAGAATTGGTAAGCTGCAATATAATAAAAGTTTGCTTTTGGGTTTAATACTGCTTTAATCCTAAATATCTAATGCAGTCTTCCTCTTGCAGAAAAATATCCTAGTGTCTCCTTAGCTAAATAAACAATAAAAAATAATAACACTACTGAGCACACATCACCAATAGCTAGATGTGGTCTATAATGTATAGTGTATACTGTAAAATGATGGTAATGATTGAAAATGAAATCGGGCACAAAAATAGTTCTAATAGGGTAAAGATTATTATTATTGTTATTATTATTATTATACAGGATTTATAGGATTTAAAGGTGATACATTTGGAATGAAACAGGATACAAATAAATGTTAAATAAAAAAGAAATCTGCTGGTATGCTACAGTACAATGTGTGGATTTATAAGCAATCCACACAATAAATGATATGGTTCGGGTGCCCAGACATTACGGAATGAAACTTATCTACACTGAAGTCCAGTGGTGCTGGCTGGCCAGAGGGGGAGCTCCAGAGACATGCAAAACAAAACAGAAAAAATCCACGCACAGGATATAGTGTAGCAAGTTAAAAACACATCGTATTTAATTAGTATACAATAAATGTTACACTCACAACCAAAAAGGCAGAGCATTGAGTGTTGTGGAAGCAGAAAGATCATTCAGATGTGCAATGGGAAGCCAGTCTACAAGGAGCTTCACTGAGGCCATTCACATTCCTATCCACCTGTTGAACTAGTGGTGTGCGGTGTCTCTCATTCCCCTATGTTTCACTGCCTTCTAGATCAAACACAAGACAGCTTTCACCCTTACGTAGCTGTAAGACGCCAGATTTTTTCACCAGCAGAGCACCTTGAGCGGCACTACAAGTGGTGGTGGCGGGATATAAGTTCATTGATGGAGGCTTCACCTTCTTGTTAGTCCCAGCATATACCCACAGCCTGTACTTGGCAGAACCGCCTTCAGATATATTTACAATGTGAACAAAGTGAAAGATAACATAACATCAAATAAATATAATATCTATGATAGGCATAATAGTGGTCCCTTAATATCCATAACTTCAATACTTATAAAAAGGAGACAGGCATCTTAAGATAAGGCAAATATGCCACCACCCATCAAGAAAGAAATTTAGGCCTTCTCCCTACCAAGTCTACTGTATGGCTGAAAATTAATATTGTTGGAGTCCATCGCAGGTAAATGACCCAGTCTGGAAGTGCTGTCAAGCATTCCTAGGCTTAGGAGAGACCTAGATGTCTCTAGCTCACCAAGGAGCAAAAGAGTCATCCTTTTGAAGTCGCAAGAAATTCCGGAGTGGATCTTTTTTGGATATCTTGTGACATGGATCACAGTGGAGTTATTTATTCATAGCACCTGCCTGATCCAGCAACATTAAGGATTCCAGAGAAGGGAGATCCTGTACCCAGGCAACCTGCACCCACCTATCCCTTAAGGGACCTCTGGCCAGCTGGATCTTCTTATCATCCTGTGTGCCTTCACCACCACTATCCACTTAGAGGGGATCATCTCCACGTGTTCCTGACCAAACCCACCACCCAGAAGGAGGACATCTTCTCCTATCCCAGACCAGACCCCAAAGGTGGCTTCTGCGGATTTTACTTAATGCACATTTACGTTGTGCATCTGGTGAGTGCACAATCTCTCTACATTACTGGGAACACCATCACGGATTATAAGGAGAGCACTATATAGACTATTCAGCAGCTTTTAGTGACAATACGGAATATTTATCATTATTTCATTATTTTGTTATCCTTTACATATTGGCTGTTTTACTGTACGTTTAGTCATTTAGATCATTTTGCATATCAATTTTCACTACATTTATAGCGCTGCACTATTTTTATGTAACCCTAATGAGAAGTTTCCCTTATGCAGGTGCCAGCTGTCTTGGTTGAACTCTGAAATCCACTGTTCCCACCACCACATCTTCCTGCGTTGTTGGGGTTAATATGAGTGCTGGACCTATCACAGGCACTTGTCAAGAGTGCAAACTATGCCCACCCTTACTGCCCCCTCCTCCATTTACAGAAGCTGTACTATGGCTTCCATCATTGAAAAGCTCTCTATGAATGGAGGATGGGCAGATGAATGAAAGGTTCAACTTCTGGATCATGATGACAATGAAAACCAGTTTGATGGCTGGTTTTGTTTTCTTGTACAAAATCCCTGCATTAGTGTACAGTATGGCCTCTACAGATGTTTCAAATCTGAAAAAAATATCCCTACAGTGCCCTACATCTCCCCAGCTCTGCAAAAGGTTAAATGTTTGTTAAAGTGATATTAAAGTCAATATAAAAAAAAAAATCATACTTACCTGCTCTGTGCAGTGGTTTTGCACAGAGCAGTCCCAATCCTCCTCTTGTCGGGTTCCTGGCCGGTGCTCCTAGCCCCTCCCTCCTGCCAAGTGCCCCTACAGCATGCAGTTTGCTATGGGGGAACCCAAGCAAGCTCACTCCTGAAACGCTGCCCTTTGTGTCCATTCACACACAGAGCCATGGCTCGGCTCTGCCCTCTCTCTCTCCTTATTGGCTCACTGGTTGTGATTGACAGCAGCAGGAGGAGTAAGAGTCCCCAGAGAGCCAACGCTGACATGCACATCGCTGGATCGCGAAGGGGCTCAGGCAAGTATTAGGGGGGCTGCTGCACATTGAAGATTTGTTATTTTCATGCATAGAATGATGAAGGTAGTAAAACCTTGAGCCTTTACAACCACTTTAAGTGTAAAGGTAGAGAAAAAAGGCTGTAATACTTACTTTATTCTTCTTATTCTTCCCTCTACCAGCAGCTGGGGCTCTGACGCTCTGGGTTGTTGGTGAATTGAGATCTATCAGTCCTGCACTGTATTTAATATGACCACAGTCCAGAGTGCCTTAGAGAAGTGAGTTCAAGGAACCGGTTGAACAAATGGAGGGAGTCTGCCAGAGCAAGGAATAAGGTAAATATTACAGCTTATTCCCCTACTTCTAGACTAGGTGGTTGTAAACCCTCACATATACTGTACCTAGTGAAGTGACTGTCTTCAGGTGATACACAGAGATGAAACAAATCCTCCTACATACGTTGTACCTGTCTATCTGCAGTCTTCTCTTCTCTAAGTGCAAAGTGCTGAATCCTAGATTGTAAGCTCCAAGGAGCAGGGCCCTTCTATCCCTCTTGTATTGAACTGTATTGTTGCTGTATTGTCTCCCTTTATATTGTAAAGCGCTGAGCAAACTGTTGGCGCTATATAAATCCTGTATAATAATAATAATATAATAATAATTTATAAAGCTTGTCTGAGAGTTCAGACAAAATGGGGCAGAGAGCTGAAATTACACACTGCAGAGCTCAGTGAAAAGAGCTCTGAGAGCTGATTGGAGGGAAGAGACACACCCCCTCCACACTGCACACAGTAACAGAGCTAAGCCTGTCAATCTGCTGGAAGTCCCTCCCCTGCCACCCTTTTATCTTGGTGTCAGGAACACTTGTCAGAAGTGATTCATTCTGTTAGCAGAGGAACAAAGCAGCAGACATAAATGACACTTAGTGATCCTAATTGAGACAATGACACACTATAAAGGGGTATGCTTTGTTTATATTTCATGTCTGATGTTTACAACCACTTTAACTATCATTTAACCATTGCATTTGGGAAGGGGGAGGCATTGCTATTTTCTTCTGTCTGGAGCGAGGCTTTAAATTGTTGAAACTTGACTTGTTAATAGTATGTTCAGGGCCTGTTCACACCAGAATGTGGTTCATGAAACATTCCACGCACATTTCCTGCACAATGTTTAAACTCACTGCACTTGCGTCAATGTTAACTTAATGACACCCAAAAGCAGATCGCAAATGCAGTGCACCAGATTGAATGTTATAGTAGTACCATGTG